TTTTAAAAGAGAGCATGTGTCTCAGTTCAGTGATGGGGAACTTCAGTGGAACTTCAGTCTTTTGCATCCATCCACTGAATCTTCACCAGGAAAGGTCATGAGTATCAACTGCCCAAAAGGTCTGCCAGAAAGCTGCAAAAATGCAAATGCTGCATTACTCTTCAGTAATGCAAGGACACTAGAATTAGGAATGGAAGGCAGTACATCAGGCCTGCCTGTGGAGCCCTGCTTGGTCAGCTTAGCTGTCCAAGTAAGAAAAGAATGCCTACAGATGAGAAAAGTGCACCCAGAGCTGCAGCTCTGAATTGTATGAGCAGTCCTCTGGAGATCTAGAAACGTCAGAAAGTGCTGTGAGAGGGACAAGCAGTGTCTTGTCCTTCTGAACCCCCTCTGTACTGCAGCCAACAGAGGAAGAGTTCAGGAAGAGTGTTAGGAACACATGGCTTCACAAACTCCTGCCAGTCATCTCGGATAGCTTTGTGAAGGAAAGTGGTAGCTCCAGTAAAGAATAGCAAGTGCTGGAGGTGCTTGTTAGCAAGTTGGAACAGATTCCTCTGTGCTGGGAAGGGTTCAAATCATGGGGCATAGAAAAGGATGGGCAGAATTCTCTGAAGTATTCTGAAATGAGCACAGCTCCAGCACCAGGGACCAGTGCAAGCTACCTGGGAGACTCCCTTTGCATGGCTTACATGCTGTCAGGTCTAGGTGGTGGGCATTGCACTGTTAACAGCAATCACCGTTGTTCTTTTTAAGGAGATGAGGTGATACTAGCTTATCTGTGTTACTGAGGTATCAGATATGATCCTGTGTAGTATGCAGGAGCTCCTAGGTGGTTTGTAATCTACCAGCATCTTCTGCAGCAGCCCAGGTGTGTTTCTGTTATCTTCTGTATGCTGGAAGTAGGAGTGCTTCCCTTGTCAGCAGTTGTGGATCCAGTTGGCGTGTTGTTTAAGAAGATTCCAGCTTTTTGTGTTTAGCTGTACAGCTGGCTTATCTAAAGTGCTGCCTGGGGATTTCTCTTTAGCTGATATGATCTGTGGCCACCCCTCAGCTACTCTTGGTCTCCCACATGGGCTGTCTGCACATAGTTGTGTTCCAGCTTGATTTCATCCAGCGATTGGGCTGTTTGCTTGGCCCTGATTTGGAGTAGGATGGAATCTATTCTTTTTGTAGCCTCCCTCATCCTTCTTGCCTGTCAGAGAGGAGCTCTGCTGGAATGCAGCATGCATTAGTAGTAGCCCTGTGGACTTGCTTACAGGCTCGTCCAGCTGCACTGATGGATGTTTTGGCTGTCTCATGATACCTGGAGTGGGAAAGTGCTTCTGTGCAGCAAAGTGAGCAAAGGGATGATGAAAAAGAAGGCTTCTCAGAGCTGAATTTCTTGGCTTCTTTTGCAGACTTGTGTCATCCGTGCTTGGGACCTGCACAAACCCCTGCTGTTCTGCCCAGCTATGAACACGGCCATGTGGGAGCATCCCATCACAGCTCAGCAGGTGGAGCAGCTGAAAGGCTTTGGCTACACAGAGATCCCATGTGTGGTGAAGAAACTAGTGTGTGGAGATGAAGGTCAGTCCTGTTGCATGTCTTCTGACTCTTCTCCTGCCCCAGTGCTCCTCTTGCACTGAAGGGAGGTGCCTTGCTCTTCTGCTCCGTGACCTTCCAGATGTTAGACTGCAGTGAGCAGGTGCTCATGGCCAAGGTTTGTACAAACAACACGAAGCTTTGCCCTGTGCTAGCTGACACCTATTACTCTAGTTCAAAGCAAGCTGGTAGATAGGCGTGATACTTAAAAGAAATACCCATCCTCTAAGAGATCAGATCTGAAAGAAGCGAGGCTCTGTGGTGAGCATTATCAGCCTGGGATTCGGGTGTCCCAGCCATGCCCTCTGCTGAGACTGTGGGCTGTTTCCATCATGCCTCAGTTCCTCATCTCTGACGTGGGGATAATATCTTATCCCTTAGAGCAGACATAGAGGATTAGCACTTTGCAGATGTGGCTGAGGGTGTAACGACATACATTTACCATTTGTTGTTGTTTGTTGCCTGGGTTACTTTTCAGCTAGATCAGCTTCGCAGTCTCATTTTGATTTGGAGTTCTGACATCAGCCTTGTCTGTGAAGTGAGAGAAGGGGGTAGGAAAACTTGTCATGCTCAACTTTCAGACTTACAGTGCCAAGTGAAATGGTCTCGTTTGTATTCTAGCAATTGGTTTAAATGAATGTGTTTTGATTTTTGGAGGTTTTGAGAAGTTTTTTTTATACCAGCAGTTTGGATGAATGGATTCACTTCTTTAATTTAGTCTTTTGTTGTCTGTAAAACATCGCCCAATTCTAGCTGTAATAGCAAATGTGTTATTACCTGCACAGTAATGCACTCATTCTTTCATCTAATAACCCAACAACAGCAGGATCTTACCCTGTTGGATACTTCGATGAATGTCTGTCATGAAGACAGGATGCTAGCATGTTCTTTGTGGTTAAATTCCAGGGCTGGCTTTCTTAGTGTCTGAATTCTTGGGAAGATGCAGTGCTTTTAGAGAATGTTTTCTGGAGCTGACAACTTAGAAATATTTACAGTTAGGTAAGTGTAGTCAAGTAATTCAGGCATCAGCTGTAACTGTACTGGACAATTATGTTTCCTCTGGGGTTTTAGACCTGATTACATCAAATTTCCTGCGTGCTTGTAATAATGTTAAGGGAAAACGCCCAAAAGAGGTCATTCTGTGCAGACGTTTTGGCAGAAGTGGAAAGGCCATCTGGCATAGCTTCTTTGTCCCTTAAAGGACAAAGGAGCTTTTCCTTTATCTTTTTTTAGTACTTGTATAGGACCTCTATTCCTATAGCAAACTTATGAGCACCTATGAGTGATGCGCTTGTTCGCAGAGGTCCACGCATCTGAAGCAGAGCTGCTGTGTCAGCCCTCTTTGGCAGATGGGGATCTGAGATGCAGAAGGCTCTGTGTGTTGACTCAGTGGTGCAGATGACTTCGAGCTGGATGCTGAATGTGCATTCTGTGTTCTGCTGCTCTGCCCTGCTGTTCCTTGGAGTTGCTGCCCTTGCATCAGCGATGCATGGCCACATGAGAAGCAGCATGTCCATTGCTGTGGTTTGTAGCTCAGAATGGCAAAGCTGAACCAGTAGTGATCAGGACTAACCTCATTACACCAACAGTCATTTAGGAGCTGCTTTGTGTGTAGTTCAGATGTTCCCGCTGTGAGAATGAACTCCCAAAGGAGCCTGTAGGAGAAGGATGGTACAGGCAGCTGAGGCAGGAGTAGCCACATCTGACTCGGCTTCGCTTGTGCTTGTGAGTCAATTTGCAGCAAGATTTTCCTGCTGGCACATGCCAGGGTTTTCCTGGCAGCAGGTAGGAAAATTATAGCAGAGCAGTAATGCACTCTAGGTCTCTGAAAACACAAGATTCTCTTCACCAGTGTTTTTTTTCCCCGTCTTCCTCTTGTTTTTTTGTTGTTATTTTTTTTCCAGGCCTTTTCCCCCAAAGCCTCTTTTTCCACACTAATTTCTGGTTTGTGAGCTTTATCCACAAAAGGGTTTGCCTGGCTTCCACTGGCCAGATAGCAAAGTGCACATCTGGTGCTGAAGAAAAGAGATTCAGTTTGCACCAGTTTTGTTTGTTGACATTGTGGTTTAACTTGCTGTTGAATGAGGTTCATCTTCTACCACTCATGTAACTGATCTCACCTGAAGTGACTGCCATCATGTTTCTACACTGCAACCATGTTTCTTCCATAGTAAGTGGGTGTTTGTTGGGAATACAAGAAAAACTGTTTAGAGCAGCAGCTGTGGAGTAGGATAAACAGCATGAGAACCAAGGACACCTCTAGAAGAAGAGAAGAAGCAAAAGGAACAGCTCATGGCTCTGACTGGATAAGCACCCACATGCATGGTTATGGAGTGTTTGTAGAATGCTCTGCTGACATGCAAAGGTGGATGGGAAAGTTGTAAGGGCAGATAGAAAAGCTTAAAAAAGAAACTTGTGAATGTATATAAGTGATGTGAGAATTTGTAAGAAACGATTTGGATCGTTCACATCTGAGTCCATGGATGAGACATTGCAGGTGTTTTTAGACGTAGAGTCCAGCTAAAAAAGAGTTAAAATAAAAAATTCAATCTAGTTGCCAATTAAAATGTTTCCTCGATTGGATATAAAATGTAACCTAAGGGCTGCTGGCTTTGGTGGTATCCATGTGCCACCATATAAGGAGAGCTCTGAGAGGTGCCATAACCACATGCAGGCCTGCAGCAATTCATTGTTGCAAAACGCTTCCAAACTGCTAGTATCTTCTTCATCCTTGGCTGAATTTCTAGAGCCTGGCACAGTGGAAGAATTTTTACCCATAGGCACGATGTGTGCTGTGAATTGCCAAAGATGTTGAGAAGATGAGTTGTGTAGGATGAAGGCAGACCTTGGAAGTGCTCTTTAAGGGTGTCATTCTGCCAAGCATGAGGGTGCATTCGGGGAATTTCTTTTGTTTAGCAGGATGCATCGAATGCAGCTCCTCTCAGAACAGGAGGCAAGAGCCACTCACATCTGCCTGCATCTTGTCTGTGGGGTGCTTCAAACCTCTTAGGGTTTATAGGCCTGAAAATGATGGAAATTCTCACTAGGTAGGGAAGCTCAATTTTCTTGTCTTTCCAAAAGCATTGCACTTCATCCCAGCTCCTCACCATTGCATCCAGTTATGCCTTCTGTCCCAGGCAAGGTTCAGGTGTCCCATCTGTACTGGGAAGCTGAAGGTCCTGTCAGATTCAGTGCAATGATCTGCCCACAGAGCACACCTCTCTGCTGTGCAATATGGCCTTTCCTCTTCCATCTCTTTCCTCAAGTTGTAGCTGTCCTTTGGAGCCTGCTGGTTTCACTGTTTGTCTGTGCACTCACTAACCCAGCTGTGTAAGTGAATTGGAGGAAAATGAAAACAAAACCTCCCAGAACTAATTTCTAACAACAAATAGGGCTCGTGTTTTAAATAATTACAGCAATTAGCCAGCAAAACAAGAGACTAGTAGAGACTCTCGTCTTTTGAATCTTCTAACGGAGACAGATGCTGGTGGGAAGATAACAGGAATTAGTGGACTGATTTCTGTGCATGCATGAGATTGGATAAGATGATTTAGTGGTCTCTGACCTTGAAGTTTTCATTCTAGGTTTAAAAAAAGTGTTTCGGAGCAAAGCATAGATTAATGTTCATCTGGCAACTAACCAGTCCAAAAGGAAAAGCTTTTACATTTTGTTCTGCTCAGCACACAGTCTTCTCCAAGAATTACTCCCAAGAATCAAGCTGGTGCAAATCCAGAGCAGCTTTCTCTCTAATGTGGGCCTAACTGTGGAGTCATTGGAATGGTATGAAGTCAAGTTTAGTTTTGTTTTGTTATTTTTAATAGGGAAGGGTTGTTTCAAAATAATACCTAACGTGCTGTTTGCATTGGAGGAAGGAGGTGCAGGAGGGTATTTTGTTACCCACGCACTTTGTTTTGGTCACTTGTGCACACTTACCCCCAGGGTAGTGCGAGCTAAGATACCAGCTCCCTGTGCAAGGGTTAGACACAGACATCCTTGGAGATGATTCAGAACATGAGGTACTTATTAAGGTCATATGAGTTGCCTTTTGAGGTTTCCTGCCTCTCTCCATTGACTGTCTGAGGAGCTTGTGCTCCTGCTTAGACTTGTGAGTTGCGAGCCAAGCTAAGTTAGCATGAACACTCCTCCCTTGATGGCATCCAACCATGCCACAAAGTCCCTGCCCAACCAGCTAGACCAAGCAGATCCTCTTGCCCCCACAGCTGAATCATGAGGAAACATGGGGATATTTTGCAAGCTTTTGCCTTGGCCTTGCAGAGCTATGGGGCATCAACTTTACTGCAACATGGCTGAATGTGCAGGAGAGAAGGGGTGGGACGGGGGAACCACGTGCCATGTGCTCTATGGCTTTCACCACGAGCCTTTGGTCTTGCCCTGCAGGTCGTGGAGCCATGGCAGAAGTGTGGACCATAGTGGAGAGCGTGAGAAGGATCCTTGAAGAACGGGGTTTGCCAACACAGAGCTGATTGCTTGCCATGAGAATTGCCTTCCTGACGATTCAAAGATAAAACCGACCGGAAACCGAGTCGAGATGGCATGTGTCCCTACAGCTCAACTGAAGGAGTGAAACGGTTGTGTTCCAGCTGGTACCAAACTGAAATGTGGTACAGCACTGCAGACTTTTAGAAACCTAAGCCAAGACCACGTTTCTTTATTGTGGGAAAACTGTGGTATCTTGCAGAGAGGGAGTAACGTTCCTCCAGGCCAAGCAGCCTGGTTTGTTTCACGTGTGATCCTTTCTGAGAAGGCTGCAGAAGGAATTGCCCTTGTGTCTCCAGCCCAGCATTGCCCCAAGGGTGGCTGGACTGGTGTGCTTGCTGTCCTGGCAATAGGAACGTGGGTGTGAGGACATCCTTGCTCTCCAGCGTGGTCCTTAGCTGTGCTGCCTTCTCCTTTCCAGCAGGAGTCACTGTCCAAAAAGCGTTCTTCCCCTGAGAGCTTAATAAAAAGAGAGCTTTTAATTCTGCCCCTGAGGAATTGCTTTTTGGGGGTGTTTGTGCATAACATCATTGCTAAATCGTTGTGCTTGTGGGCTGCTTTTTATCAGAGAAGGAAAAAACTGACTGAGAGAAGCTATCTAATCCTTAAATTAGCCTTTGTCCTTTGTGTCTGTTGACTGGATCTGTAAGCAGGTATCAACTGTGAAGCAAAAAGTCACCTGCCTGTCTGGGTGCTCTAATCAGGAAGCAGACAGGCTGGCCCTGGTGCAAAGCCTGGTGGGTGTTTTCCAAGGGAGTAGAGTCAAACTTTGCCTACAACAGTGCTTTCCAGCTTGAAAATTAACCATCTGGCCTGAAGAAATTGGGAAATCCGTGTGAAGCCGTGGACCAGGGTAGCCAGGGTTCCCCCAGCCCAGCTTTCCATTGGAAATGTGAGACTGTCACTGGGGAAAATGGGACCAAGCTGGGACTGCTGAACGGATTGCTGCAGCAGAGCACTGCTGACCCAGTATTTATTTTTAATTTAATCCAGCCAAATTTAAGGCCTATGGTACAGAATGTACGTCTTGCCCAGGAGGACAACCTTCAAGCTACTACGCGCAAGGAAAGAGGTTATCAGGGTATGTTTGCTTTCCTTATCTATTCCACACAAATAAAAACCTCTGAAACTTTCCCACTTTGGCTCTTCCACTGATGGAGAGCCAGGGGTTCTGAGCTTCTAGGAATACAGGCAGAAGGAGCCTCGTGTAAACAGAGCTGCTGGCTGACAGGAGCTGTGGTGGTACCATAGTCATCAGCTTTGTGTTTAAACCTCCCCGTGGCTGTGCTGGTTTGCACCATTTGTGGCTCTGTTGCAGTTTGCTCATATTGGGATGGCGAAAGCTCTCCACCCTGGGCAGGATTTTAGTTTAAGCTTCTTGAAGGCAGTGCAAGAGATGCCTCTTGTATTTCCTTGAGTTTTGTAACAAATGTTTCTCCTCATTACAAAGAAGCACATGTAGTTGCAGCTGGACCTCGTGGGCTCTGCCATGCTATCTCCTGTTTTTTGGGTTGTTTATCCTCCCTCCTTGCCTGTGGTTTGGCAATGCAACAAACCCTGCAGTGTTCCTCATACGAGTCAAAACACCACGTCCTTGGGGGGAGCACTGAGCTGTTTGGGATCTGTCTTGATGTTCTGAGCTGCTCCAGGCACACTGGCAGGTATCGCTCACTTCTCCCAGTGGTGGTGGATGTGTAAAGCATATGCTGCAGAGCATGAGCTCTGATAATTAATCAGAAATGGGATAACGTGCCATTTTCAGATGTGGAGTTCCATGCTGGATAGCCCTATAGTGCAGATAAGATTGGGGCTTGTTAGGTGGCTAATTTAGGGCTTGGAAAGAATTTGGAGATCTTTGAATACAGAGGGTTGGTCCTTTGTCCTGCAAATGTATGGAGCCTCAGTGACAAGATCAGAGCCTGGGGGTATGACAGGAAGGCTTCGAAGCTGCCTGACATGTACAGCACAAACTCACCTGGAGGGACCCCATGCCCAGGTCTTTCTGCTCTGGGCTAAGTGTATCACTGAAAGATCCTGCTGTGATTTTGGGTTGGAGGCAGGTCCTGATAGCATTACAAGGTGGGATAAGGGCTGCCAAAACCGCCTTCCCTTCAGGGCAAACATAAGAAACAGTTAAGTTCTTCTTTGGAGGCAGAGGACTGAAGCAATCTTGTATCCACCAATAGCACAGCCACCCATCCCCACCCATGGCAAGGTATGTGCCATCAGCCCCAGGGCAGAAAACGTTGGCCTGATGGCTTTTTGGTGGTTTTTTTTTTTTTTTTTTTTTTTTTCCTGTGCTAAAACAGCAAAAAAAGCAAACAATTTCATTCATGCTGCAGTTTTATTCATTGTTGTCTCCCACCCCAAGTTCAGTCTGACTCATCTACTGCTGGGCTTGGTAGAGCCTGGAGGAGGACAGAGATGCCATGGTGTTTTGTGTCAGGATAACCCAGCTTCAGGCAGAGTGTTTTGTGCATTGGCCAGCTTGCTGGCAGCACCCTGATCCTACAAGTCTTTCCTATCACTTGGGATTGGATGTGCATCCCAAAGGGGCCAGAGGAGTGCCATGGTGCTGATACTGTTTGGTCCGGGGTTCATTAAGTGATGGATCTCTTTCCCAAGCTGAATCCATGCCACACATCACTTGCATTCCTCCCTCTCAGCATCTCCTTAGGTCCAGTCACCAGACTATGAGGTGCTGGTCTCTCAGACCTATATCTTATGTTGAGCTCAGCATCCCTTTGTGCTCATTGATGAGTTTTGTTGCCTGATTATTTTCACCCTGAGAACCAGACAGGCTGCCTTGGGGGACAAACCCCATTTCGGTTGCTGCTCCCCATTTGGTGGGAACAAAATCCAGTCCCCTAAAGGAGAGCACACCTGGTGACTTCTGTTAACTGTTTTGCTCTGCTTTAGGGTGCTTTCCCTTGCTACCAGAGATTTGGCCACAGGGGTGATGCTGTTCCTAAGCCCCATTGGCTCCGTGTAACATCTCCACCAGCATTTTGGAGGGTTTGGACTGGGGAAGCTCCAGCAGGACTGAGGAACAGCAGTTTTCAGGTGTGCAGTTGGTTTCCTTTGCACTGGGCTGCTTTATGGGTTTGGAAAACTGCAGTTCACAAACCGCAGCGCGATAAGGTTGGGGGAAGAAAGCAAACCACGTCAGCACCAAGGAATGCAATGGGAGGGAGCCCAGATCCTGGACAGGCATCAACTGTGCTGTGACTGCATTGCAACTCAGCCCTGGGCTTGAACACCCCCTTTATAAAGACAGCAGGTTTGGAGATAGCACACAATGCTGTGGGGTTCCCCATCCACCCTGGGAAGTCCCTTCTTCTCCCTTCCCTACTAGTGATGCTTGGGGACTTCCCAGCGCAGGGCTCCTTGATTCCCCCTGGTGCCACCAGCCTTTGGTAAGGAGCTTTTGGGGTCAGGTTGCTGCCATGTGAATGGTAGTGATTTTTGTAGCTCCTTCTGCTCTCTGCTCACTCAGGGTGTGAATGTGAAGCCCAGCCCCACTGCAGTCAATGAACCCCGGGTGCTTGCTGTAGCGGAATGTCAATATTGACTCTCATCCATCGTTTGCATGCGTGGGCACTAAAATTAACAAAAGCAGAACAAAGCCCACGCTTGGTTCCGATGCTGGGTTTTGTTATGCCGATTCTTCAAAGCAAAATAAAAGAAAATGGTTCTATTGAAGTTGTGAGAGGGGCTGCGGGTGGAACCCAGGCACATAGCAGCTCGGGGCTGTTCCCATCCGTGGTGCGTGCTCTGGGAATGGAAGATGGAGGTGAAGAGGTGGTGTGTTTGTCTCAGTGATTCATTGACTCACAGCCTGGGAATGGATTTGGCTGTGATTTGCTTCTTTGGAAGTCAGAGCTCTTAGAAAAGCCAGATGCCATTGAGAAACTCCTCACCCCTTTCTTCCCTCTATTATTACCCATCTTTGTTCTCCTTGGGAAGATATCCTTGCCCTGAGAGTATCCTTGTTTTTCTCACAAAGAAAGCATTGCCATCCTTCTCCCAGGAGCATCCCCATCGCATCCTCCTCGGGGATGCAGATCCCAGGGCCAGGCAGAGAGCAGCACAGAGCATGGGAACTGGTGGCATCTCTGTGGTTTAGAAACTGGAAATAAAGGCTGAAGTGGTTTGAGGGCTCGGCCTCGAAACGAGGAAGGCGGAGGGGGCATGGGGAGGAACCAAAACCCGCCTGCAAAGGAACTATCAGAGTACAGAGGAGAAGCGAAAGCAGCTGTGATTACTGAAAGCCCGCTGGGACGGATGCAGTGCTATCTCGAGCTCTTTCACTTCCCCGTCTGGTCGGCTCTTTTGGCCTTCGGCCTCTCTTTGTACCCCTAAGTTCTCCCAGGGATGGCCAAACCCTTGTCCTTTGAAAGCCTGAAGGGTTTTGGCACAAAGCGTTGATTGCTTCTCCTCGCTGCTTTGCCTCGCTCACCTCGTCCTGCTAGGCTGGGGCCTCCACTTTGACTAATCCCAGAGAGAAAAAGCAATAACTGGGGAGAAAAAAGCAAGCTTGGGGTTCGCAGGGCAGGGAGCTCACAGACAGCATGGGGTCAGGAGCACTGGAGCAACTCCAGCCCCAATAGGTGTTTAAATAGAAAGGTTGCACACTTGCACACCTGGAAGATTTATTTCATCTTTTAATTGCTTGTTTGTTGACACGGCTCAAGAGCTCTTTGTGAGTGTTTGCTTTGCTGGCTCCATGGCTCCTGAGAAGCAGGACATGCCAGGGCTGGATTTCAGTGGGGACGAAGTCCCCAGGAGTTGTGTTATGGGGCTCCCCGTTTCCTTGGCACCACCATCCCATGGTGACAGGTATATCCCACTCCACACACCAGATGGCCCAAGGCTTTGGGGTTGTCCCAGTTGGCCCTCACCTTCCTGTCCTTGCACAGGGCCATCCCAGCACAGCTGAGGGCTATGGGATCCATATCTGGGCTCGGCATCCCTGCTTGGGGCAGAGAGGGGAAGTGATGCTTCTGGTCCCTGAAGATAAGGAGCTGGGGACTGCAGATAAAGGTGCCCATTATACCCAAAGTAAGCTGGCAGTGATAGCAGAAATAAGAGGACAGATGATGGGTGTTCCCAAGGTTTTCCCCCAAATGTACCAGCTCTGGAGAGATCTTGGGGCACTCAGGAGGAGCTGGTGGGTGCTGAGGGCTTCTTACTGTTGCTTTTTGGGGTCACAGACGTGTCTGCTTTGCACAATCAGCTCCTTTCTCAGTCTTTTCTCTCTGCCAGCAATTGGAGATGGGGTTGGATTGCTTCACTGAGGACCTAGTGAATCACCCCATTCTCCTCCCCTCCCCTTCCTGCATTAATGACAGCAAACACCATGCCTGAGGCAATCTATTGATTTATCCTCTTTTCATCCCCAGGTGCTGGGCTTATGCTGCTCACCCTATTTTTACAGGGGAGGAAGATGTTGGGCACTGAACTGTACCAAAGACCAGCCACCATCTT